AGGTTTATTTATCCCTATTTTCTGGTGGTCAGGGACATCAATAGTGGAATATATTTCACAATACAAACCACCTACACAAGACAATGACTTTAAGTGTTAAGTGAAAGTAACATTAAATGATATGGAATCAAATAGTGAGAAAGTTGTATCATTCTCATGCCCTACTCCCCTCTCCCCATCCTTCTGTCAAATAAGGATAAAGTATCAGTTCTTTTATGTAGCACTTTTTTTTCTTTTAAACATAGGCTTCTGTCTCAGAGCCTTTGGCAGACAACAGAGGCTTACTTACTAAAAAATATTGTTTCATTTTCATTGTACTTGTTCTTAAGGCTACATCTACACAAGTGATACTAATTTTCCATTTACAGAAGTGATAAAAAATGTTCCTCTTAAAATATATTTAAGTAACATGAGGAGACTTAGAAGTTCCGCTTGTGCCTATCATGTAGATGTGTGGAAAGAGTGTCACGCTGACTCAAAGTGGATGGATGACAAAATGATAAATTTTATTGGATCTATATCAGATAGCTGATGTGGCAGGGCAGTCAACTAGCCTGAATTTCAAGGAAGGACAGACCCCTCCAAGGAGAGGTGGGATGTAGACTGGCTCACCTGTAGCAGAGCATGGGAGGAAGAAGTGTTGACCAACATATAAGCAGGTAAGAGGAAATCAACTAAAAGAATTGCTAAAGGCCAAACTGGGGCTGACATGACAGTATAAAACCCCTGGGAGCCTGAGATACTAGGGGACCTTGCATGCACTGACAAGCTCTTTCCAAAACCTCCACCGGGTGTTCTTGAGAAAGACCTGGGGGCAGTGGGGTGCTGGAGCTCTACAGAGCCTCCCTTGGTTTGGAGGCATGCAAAGGAAGGAGGAGTAGGAAAGGCATGAAACCTTGCCTCCCCCTGGCTAGGCCCTTCCCTCATTAGGAGCAAAAAGGCCTAAGCCACTGGGGGAGGAGCAGAAAACCCTGTCTCCCTAGAACACAGGTAAAGACCCGTTGCTGCTGGGACAAGGTAAGAAAAAACCTCTACCCTTGGGAGGGACAGGATTCAGTCCTGAGCCCCCCCAGGATTTTATACCAATACCATTAAAGGCCTCTTGCCAATGCAAGAAGGGCAAGAAACTCTCCCCCCTCAAGACCAACCACAGATACAAGTCAGGGTTTGGCTGCCACAGAGAGGAGGGGCAAGAATGCTGAGAAAAGACCCATTCCCAAGGCCTGGGCACGAAGGACCTACTAAAGACTGAGGCTTTGGGACTTCCCTGGTGACGCAGTGGTTAAGAATCTGCCTGCTGGACTTCCCTGGTGGCGCGGTGGTTGAGAGTCTGCCTGCCAATGCAGGGGACAGGGGTTCGAGCCCTGGTTCAGGAAGATCCCGTGTGATGCAGAGCAACTAAGCCCGTGCACCACAACTACTGAGCTTGCAAGCCACAACTACTGAGCCCGTGAGCCACAACTACTGAGCCTCTGTGCCACAACTGAAGCCCTTGCACCTAGAGCCCGTGCTCCGCAACGAAGAGGAGCCACCGCAATGAGAAGCCCGCGCACCACAACGAAGAGTAGCCCCTGCTCGCCGTAACCAGAGAAAGCCCACGTGCAGCAATGAAGACCCAACGCAGCCATAAATAATTAATTTTTTAAAAATTAAAAAAAAAAAAAGACTGAGGCTTAATTAGAACAAAGAATCCCTGAGTCTTCCCTGACTCCCAACGTAGCAAGCAGTGCTGGGGGCATGGGCAAAGGCATAGAGACTTAACCATATGGTGCAGGTATGCAGGACAGCTGAAAGCTAAGGATGAAGTATGAACACTTGAGAAAAATTCTTAAGCTCCAAAGTACAAAATCAGTGGATATGAAACCTGTGGTTTCAAACACTGAAGGCAACCATCGCAACAACAAAACCCAAACCTAGCTCAATTTCTGACCAGAATGACCAAACACCACATGAATGGCCTGACAGAAGAGGCTTGCCTATTTCCAAGCATTAATACTATTGACTTCCGTCTCTACTGTTATATAATTAATGACTGGCATTCAATAAAAATTTTGAGATACTCAAAGAAGCAAGAAAAGTCAACCCATTTGTGATAGACAATCAATGAGACCCTATACAGGTATGACCTAGATGTTGTCATTATTGGTCAGAGACTTCAACTCTGATTAACATGTCGAAGATCTAGTTGAAAATAGGGATAATATGCATGACAGATTTCAGCAGAGAGGTAGAAACTATAAGAAAGGGACAAATTGAAATGAAAACCACAGGATCAGAGATGAGGAATGTTTTCTCTGGGCTCATCAGAACACCTTGTCATACCTGAGGAAATAATCAGGAAACTTGGAAACGGATCAATAGAAATTATCCAAACTGAAACTCTCAAAAAGAAAACAATAGCTTATTCAAGGTCTATGGGATGATATCAAATAGTCTAACGTGTAATTGGAGTCCCAGATGGAGAAGAAACTGGGCAGAATATTTAAAGAGATGACACTTAAGAATTTTCAAAATACGATGAAGGACAACAAATCACAGACGCACGAAGCTCAGATAAACGCAAGCACTTTCTTATACAGGAAAAAAACATACCATATGATCAAGTAATCCCACTCCTAGGTATTTACACATGCAAAATGAAAACCTATGTCTGTACAACCACCTGTATGTGAATGTTTATAATGCCTTTATTTATTTATTTATTTTGGGGTTTTGTTTTTATTTTTTTTAACATCTTTATTGGAGTATACTTACTTTACAATGGTGTTAGTTTCTGCTTTATAACAAAGTGAATCAGCTATACATATACATATATCCTCATAACTCCTCCCTCTGTGTCTCCCTCCCACCCTCCCTATCCCACCCATCTAGGTGGTCAGAAAGCACCGAGCTGATCTCCCTGTGCTATGCGGCTGCTTCCCACTAGCTATCTATTTTACATTTGGTAGTGTGTATACGTCAATGCCACTCTCTCACTTCATCACAGCTTACCCTTCCCCCTCCCCATGTCCTCAAGTCCATTCTCTACGTCTGTGTCTTTATTCCTGTCCTGCCCTTAGGTTCTTCAGAACCTTTTTTTTTTTTTTTTTTTAGATTCCATGTATATGTGTTAGCATACGGTATTTGTTTTTCTCTTTCTGACTTACTTCACTCTGTATGACAGACTCTAGGTCCATCCACCTCACTACAAATAACTCAATTTCGTTTGTTTTTATGGCTGAGTAATATTCCATTGTGTATATGTGCCACATCTTCTTTATCCATTCATCTGTTGATGGACACTTAGGTTGCTTCCATGTCCTGGCTATTGCAAATAGTGCTGCAGTGAACATTGTGGTACATGACTCTTTTTGAATTATGGTTTTCTCAGGGTCTATGCCCAGTAGTAGGATTGCTGGGTCCTATGGCAGTTCTATTTTTAGTTTTTTGAGGAACCTCCATACTGTTTTCCATAGTGGCTGAACCAATTCACATTCCCACCAGCAGTGCAAGAGTGTTCCCTTTTCTCCACACCCTCTCCAGCATTTATTGTTTGTAGATTTTTTGATGATGGCCATTCTGACTGGTGTGAGGTGATACCTCACTGTAGTTTTGATTTGCATTTCTCTAATGATTAGTGATGTTGAGCATCCTTTCATGTGTTTGTTGGCAATCTGTATGTCTTCTTTGGAGAAATGTCTGTTTAGGTCTTCTGCCCATTTTTGGATTGGGTTGTTTGTCTTTTTGATATTGAGCTGCATGAGCTTATGCCTTTATTTATATTCATTCAAATCTGGAACAACTCAAATGTTCATCAACTGGCAAGTGTGTGTGTTGGGGGGGCGGTGTGTGTTTAACCTCAGGTGCATCCATACAATGAAATTCTCAGCAATAAAAAGGAACAAATTACTGATACATGTGACAATATGGATGAATTTCAAATACAATATGCGAAGAGAAAGAAATCAGACCCAAAAGGCAATACAGGATTCCATTTATGATATTCTGGAAATGGCAAAACTATAGGGGCAGAACACAGATCAGTGGTTGCCGTGGACCAAGCATGGGGAGAAGTGGATTCACTCAGCACAAGGGAACTTCTGGGGATGACAGATGATAGAACTATTCTATATTTGTATGACTATATGTAAAAATTCATAACTGTTCAAGTAAAAAGGGTAAAATTTTACTCTACACAAATTTTGCTTTAAACCTAATTGTTAAGACATAAGGTGGCATAAATAAAAGTATTTGTTTGATGATAGGATATGTCAAAAATTATGAAAGTGATACGAGGACGCTTGAAATTCATACAATATCGGCAGTGTGGTTATGAGTTGTTCCAAAAACGATGTAACAATACATGTGTTGATCCATAGGACCCTCTTCATTTCAGAAGTTGGAAACACAGCACTATTGTCTTTGGACTTGTGGCTTCACCATTTTCTAGCTACACAACCAGAAGCAAGTTACTTAATCTCTCTAAACTTCAGCTTCCTTCTATAAAAGAGGTACAATAATACTTGCCTAGAGGGTAATGGTTGCCAGATAAAGTACAAGACATCCTGATAAATTTCACTTTCAGAAAAACGAGTTATTATTTAGTGTAAGCATGTTTGGAACATATTTGGAACTAAAATAGGGTTCGCTGTTTATCTGAAATTCAAATTTAAGTAGACGTTCTGGGTTTTCCTTGCTAAATCTGGCAACCCTACAGAGAGGGCTTATTGTGGGAATTAAGTAAGACACGGTAACGGCAAGACCTTACCCCACCGTTTGGCATAATAAGCGCTCAGTGGGGACCAACGCTGTCTTAACCCCTCATTCATTACTTGTTCCTTTATTCTTTCACTCAAATATTAAAATAAACCGATTGTACTTGTGACTCTTCATCGCTTGCTGTCACCACTCTGAAGAAGCACGCGGAAGCCAACTATCAAGCGAAGAAATTCTGAGCGGGCGACGTCATGACGCACAAGGCCCGCCCCCCGCTCAAGGGCGCACAAGACGCGTAAATAAGACGTCGACGGCCGGCAGGTAGCTTCGGGGCCTGACGGGATTGTGGCGGTCTTCTCTCCCGACTCGGAAGCTGCGGCTACCTCCAGACGCTCTCAAGATGGCGACCTCTCTGGGTTCCAACACCTACAACAGGCAGAACTGGGAGGATGCGGTGAGTATGCCTGCCGGTGGAGGACGGAAAGAGGCAGCAAAGCCAGGCTTCCAGCGGGCGGGCAGGGACATGGCTGCGGCGCAGCCGAGGGAATTCCGGGGAGAAGCCAGCACCGCGGCCTAACTCTGCCACGGCTGAAAGCTGAAGAGCGGCCCTCCTGCGGGCTTGGAGGGAGAGGGCTTAGCCAGGGTCCGGCAGCAGCCCCCTTTCCATCCCTACTCCCTCCACTCTTTTCGAGCGGGTCTTTTCTCCCGCCGTCTGCCGGAAGTGCAGACAGCACCCCGTCCGCGACCCGGCCAGTGCTGGACCTCGGGTTCCTGCCCTGTTCCCCAACCTCGCTCCTCGTCCTCTCCCCCCGCCCCATCACTGTGGCCGAGATGGCAGGGTCTTCGGAGCCTGGCGTTCGACCAGATTTCCCATTTTCACCAGGACTTCCCTATTCTGTGCCAGACGTGTCTTGGAGAAAACCCATATATCCGAATGGTGAGTGATCGTGTGTGAAACGGGACTTAACTGTCTGTGTTCTGTCAGTGTTGTGGTACTTGCACACTGTCGGTGATGTGTTTGTCTTAGCTGAGAAGTAATAATGCCCCTTTACTAACCCTAAGAGTACGACGAATTTGCAAAGGACTGTCATGCTTGTTCTCTCACTTTGGAACTCAGCAACAGTCCTGTGATATAAGAGTCATAATAATAGCTAATATTCGTTGAGCATTTACCTAGGAGATAGGTCTGTTAACCAGAGGCAAAAGGAGTGTATGTCTTTTCAATATAGCAAGTAAGGTGTGGAGCTGGGATCTAAGTTCAGATGTTCGGACTCCAGGTACCTCAGCAAATTAGGAGCAGACCCAGGACTAAAAATCTAGGTTTCCTGACTCCTAATCAAGTGCCTTTTGGCCTCTGCACCTTGTAATCTGTTTAGTGTAAGGTACCCTCTATCCTTACAAATAAGGGTAAAATTAGCAGCAGTTAACATTCAATACTTAGATTAGGGCTGTGTTGTGATCAATCTTGGAGGTGTTGGTTGACTATATGCAGGGGACCAGCACAGGATGAGTCTGTAGTAGTTAACTCTGACTGAACTTTGTAAAATGGGCTGGCCATGGCTGCATCCTCCATTTAGGGACTGTGGAAACCATTAGGAAATTGTTCTTGGGAGAGAACTTCGGAGCCAGAAATGAATCTAAGAGTTGCGGTTGTGGAAAGGTACATACTTACCTGGTGTTAGATCTGTAAGATTCTTAAGAGGGTATAACTTGTAGGTGACTAGATTATATCCCCAGCCCTCCCTTACCCCCCCTCCCTCCCCAAAAGGGTGGATTTTTTCCTCCTCTCTTCAAGATGCCAGGGATTTCCAGATAAATTTCTTAGGTCCTGTCTAGAGAAGGAGCAGGCATTAGGTTTTCTTCTTTCCATAACTCATTCTTTTCTATTTTTTTCTATTTCAGACCAAAGAAAAGTACGGGAAGGAATGCAAAGTAAGTATGTTTAAAGAGTAATGATTTAATTTTATTTTCCGTTTCTCTTCCACTTGTTGAGGTGTGAAGTCCTTTATAAAAGTGAGTGATACACAGACATTCATGTGTCATTTACATACTCATTGCCTGTTAACTATTTAGTGTAGGGCTAAGAAAATGAGCCCTTTAATGTAAGGATTCTTAACTTGGTGTCTGTGGTTGGGCTTTGAACCCCCTGAGATTGTATATACCAAGTATTGTTTGATTATGCACATGAGCATTTTAGCTGAGGAGGAAGGTCATAGCCACCAAAAGATTCTCAGAGGAGTATATGACACTCGCTACTCACCCCGTAAAAGATTAAGGGTTATATCATTAATGGTGGTGACCTCTAGGGTGGGGAGGACTTTGATTTTTGAGTATTTTATTTCTGTACTAATTGAATTTTTTAACTACTGAGGAAGGGTGTTGTAAAGCATTGAAACATCATATGGTGTTTAGACTAGATGATTGCTAAGATCTCTTCTACACCCTAGATTCAGGGATCCTTTTATTAAATCTCCTGGATTGATTGTCCAGATCAGGACCATTAACACTCTGTGGCTTTATTTTGTGTTCCAGATCTGTGCCAGGCCGTTCACAGTGTTTCGTTGGTGCCCCGGGGTCCGCATGCGTTTCAAGAAGACTGAAGTTTGCCAGACTTGCAGTAAATTGAAGAATGTCTGTCAGACCTGCCTCTTGGACCTAGAGTATGGTATGTTCGCCCTGTCCCATGGGTCTGAAAGTGTGCAACTAGTCTACACAACAAACCAGTTTTCTTGTCTCCCACTTCTCACCCCTTCTCTGGTTCTCACCCACTTTGGAGTGTCTGCTGTGCTCTGCTTTTCCCAAGAAGAAAAGAACCATACTAATTTATTCTAGCGTTCTGAACAACAGTAGGGCCTTAAAGAAAAGTTGGTAATTGATCAGCACTGGCCGAAACCTCCCTTCTGTATACCTTTGTAGCCAAGGTAAGTTAAAGGCATTGTTGCTATGATAGGTAATTTCTTTGCCTTTGGCTTCTTTCTAAATCCAGAGCTTTTTTTCCCACAATCCCTGACAAAGTTCTGGCTAATTGTGCTCTAGATTTTTGTATCAAATATATTGTTAGGACTGATACACTATATTGCTACTGTTTCAGAGTAACTGCTTTTGGGAGTCATTTTTTTTAACTGCAGATGACTTTTTATTTATGCGAAAAATATTCTTTCAACAAAAGTTTCTACTATACAGTAAAATAAAAGGGAAAAGGAAAATACAAGTTTATCTATGTTAAGTTCAGAAAGTTGACTCTGCTAATCAGAGTCCTGGTCACATATTGTCTAATATTATTTGTATGTTTGTTAAGGGGGTGTTCTGATTCTGGAATATAATGCCCCTTCCATGACTGATTATCCAGAGGATGTGTAGGACAAGCCTAAAAATAATCCATTTTTTAATATTTATTTTAAATAAACTATGGCATATTAAAAGCTAGATGCATTATTAATTGCAGGTCAAATCTAACTATAGTAAAAGTTTGTTCATCTAAAAGATTTTCTAAAACATTAATTTCATGAAATTTCATGAAAACTCAGGAATTTGGATAATTTCTTAGAATGCTCTGTAGTAGTATTGACCTGATGGTGCTAAAGATTTTGAATTAAAATAAAGCCTCTGGGGCTTCCCTGGTGGCGCAGTGGTTGAGAGTTCGCCTGCCGATGCAGGGGACACGGGTTCGTGCTCCGGTCCGGGAGGATCCCACATGCCGCGGAGCGGCTGGGCCCGTGAGACATGGCCACTGAGCCTGCGTGTCCGGAGCCTGTGCTCTGCAACGGGAGAGGCCACAACAGTGAGAGGCCCGCGTACCGCAAAAATAAATAAATAAATAAATAAATAAAGCCTCTGGTACCAAATAAGGAAGTGGAGAAAGGAAGAATGATGTATTCTGTCTACATATTCAGTTTGGATATGGTTTAAAATATATTTTGAGTTTTTTCCTCCTTTCCTTTGTTCTAGGCTTGCCCATCCAGGTTCGTGACGCAGGATTGTCTTTTAAGGATGACATGCCAAAGTCCGATGTCAACAAAGAATACTATACACAGAATATGGAGCGAGAAGTATGTTGCCACTTGCTTGATGTAGTTTTATATTTAATGAAAGAATCCTGGGGGATTGATACAACCTGTGTAATTTATCTTTTGAATGTGTCATTCCGTTATAGATTTCTAACTCTGATGGAACGCGGCCAGTTGGCATGTTGGGGAAGGCCACATCCACCAGTGACATGCTGCTCAAACTGGCCCGGACCACACCCTACTACAAAAGAAATCGACCCCACATTTGCTCCTTCTGGGTGAAAGGAGAATGTAAGAGAGGAGAGGAGTGTCCATACAGGCAAGAGCTGAACTGCTTTTTCAGTTTTTGCTTTCAGATGATAAGTCATCTAAGAAGGGGGAGGTGCTAGCTTAAACTATTTCTGCTTTAAAATGTAGAAGTTTATAGAACTAGTGTCATATGTCTTATATCTTAGGACTAGAGCTTGATTAAATTGTTTTTACTTATAATGGAACTTTTACTTACAACCAAGCCTTGGGAAACGAAATTGCTCTGCCATAAAATATCAGTGTTGACCTCAAAAGTTTCTGCCTAAGATGTAAGTCTTTGCCATCAGGGTATGATTGGCTTGAATCTCAGTGTATAGTTGAAATCAGATTAAGACCAGACTTGTAAAGAATGTGTAAGTGTGTTTGACTCAAGACTGCCAGGCATCTGGATTAGGAGTTCTTACTTTGGGGTTGGTGAAGCCTACACCCAACAAAAAGCTAGCTATGTTTTTTTCTGGGGTTGGGTCCATAGATTTAATAAGACTCTGAGTGGAATGCAAGACCTCAGACACATTAAAAACCCTTGACCTAGAGGAGGGTAATCATGTTTTGGTTACCTTTTGTTTTGGAGTGGATTGTGTCAAAAACATTTCTTTATAAGGAAACTCTGCCATGCTGTGGCCGTTTAAGTGGCTTTTCGGAGGCTAGCAAGTCCTTGTGTGATACCGTAAATCCCTTGATATTAGCTCTGTTTTAATAGTTATGTTTTGGTATGGCCATGGTTTCTAGATCAAAAGGGGACTTTTGTAGCTCCTGTTGGGTGGTATCTGTAAAATTTTTTCCCTTGTTTCACCTTTATGCATTGTTCTTTCCTGAACCATAGACATGAGAAGCCAACAGATCCAGATGACCCCCTTGCTGATCAGAACATTAAAGACCGATATTATGGAATCAATGACCCTGTGGCAGATAAACTTTTAAAGCGGGCATCAACAATGCCTCGTCTGGACCCACCAGAGGACAAGACTATCACCACACTGTATGTTGGTGGTCTGGGCGATACCATTACTGAGACAGATCTAAGGTTTGTGAATATAATTTTATGAGTTATTTTTGCCTTCATCTGCCCTAGAATTTTTTTTTTTTTTTTTTTTTGGCAAAAACTTGATAATTCTGTATAAGGTACATTTTTCTTTAGTTGCTCTAGAGTTAGTGTCATGCTGACTGGAATTTTTATAAAGTTGTCCTTTGTGATGCCACATAATGTTCCTCAACAGTGCTTATTCCATGCTTGTGTAGGGTATTAATTACATGAGCTTCTGTTTGGCCTAATAGCCATTAGAATTTCTAAAGATGGCACATATCCAAGTATGATTTATTTTGTAGGGGAGGGAGAGCTTTGCAATTATAAAACCTTATGGTTTAACTTGTTGGCTTTTTAAAGAGATTGGTATTTGGTAAATTTGTGTTATTCTTGGCTTGTATTTTGTATGGCTAGATGAAACATCTGGGCAGATACTGATGGAAGTTGCCTCTTGCAAAGAGATAGAGGGGAGAAGAAACTCTTATAGGTGTACAACCTGCCCTTGGTAGCTTATCTGCATTAAACCCTAAGTGAGCTAGAGTGTCCCCAGGGGGTGGCAGACTTTTTCCCACCTGCTCTTTCTCTTCTTTTTTACAACCTTAAAAAAAAATTTTTTTAAAAACGTTCTTGGCTCATCAGCCATGGGGGCTGTAGTTTGCCAACCCCTTATCTAGGGTTTAAGGTCTTTAGGGAGCCTTCTGGAGCCCGTTTTCCTCCACGGGAAAAACCCTGAGATGTTTGATAGCCTTTATTTACTCATTATTTTTCTTTCCCTTCCTCAATACACAGCACCCACAATAGGGTGTAAAGTATGGGGGAACCACCTGCAGGTAATTAGGCAGATCACCACGGGGCCACCTGCCTTGTGGTGAATCAGTTAAAGAGTTAGTAATCCAGGGCTTCCCTGGTGGTGCAGTGGTTGAGAGAGCGCTTGCTGATGCAGGGGACGCGGCTTCGTGCCCTGGTCTGGGAAGATCCCACGTGCCACGGAGCGGCTGGGCCCGTGAGCCATGGCCGCTGAGCCTGCGCGTCCGGAGCCTGTGCTCCGCAACGGGAGAGGCCACAACAGTGAGAGGCCCGCGTACCGCAAATAAAAAAAAAAAAAAGAGTTAATAATCCATATTCAACTTCCTGGGAATGTCTGTGTCATTAACTCTCATTTTTCTCTACAGAAATCACTTCTACCAGTTTGGAGAGATCCGGACAATCACTGTTGTGCAGAGACAGCAGTGTGCTTTTATCCAGTTTGCCACAAGGCAGGCTGCAGAAGTGGCTGCTGAGAAGTCCTTTAACAAGTTGATCGTCAATGGCCGCAGGCTCAACGTGAAATGGGGAAGGTGAGCATTAGACTGTATTAAAATAGCATTATTGAGATTTTCAAGAACCTTTTCATTATCTGGGGACTAGTAAGCTTTCGGTGAATAGGCTTAAATCAATAGGACCTTTAAAAAGAATTTTTCATTCTGTCTGGCACTCCATTCCTGTGGATATTAGGAAGATGCTACTTTGGAAATTTATTGAGGGTTTTGGTGTAGTGATCTGATCCTTTGAAGGTTCATGTGTTTTGTGACCAGCTATTACAGGCCAAGGGTAATGCCAGGGCATGAAATGTGGCCTGAGAGTTTACACAGGAATTAGACCTAGATTCTGTCCTCTGTAGGCCAACTATCTAGTGTTGAAGAATAGCTAACATAAGTTTGAAAGTGGTGATTGCGTAAGAGAGACACAAGTAAAATGCCCTGGACATTCAAAGGTGGAACGTGTTTCTGGCTTGGAGCCAGGGAGACCTTTCACAGCAGCAGCAGCAGCAGTCCTCACGGAGGGCTTTCTGAGCACTGGGCTCAACACATGGGTGTTGCCTCCTCCAGCCCCTACAGCAGTTCTAGTGAATTTTGAACCCAAGTCTTTCTGGCTTCAAAACCTTTGCTCTTATCCACTGTGCACTATGGCATTTATGGGAAAAGAATGTGTGCCGAAAAGGAGGCAAGGAGTGAAGGAAATCCGTTTGCCTAGGAAACATGAGAAGCAGAGGTGTGAGAGAAGGTGGGACCATGTGCTGATGGTGTAAGGGTCTGTGTCTCCCAGGTCCCAAGCAGCCAGAGGAAAAGAAAAGGAGAAGGATGGAACCACAGACTCTGGAATCAAGCTAGAGCCCGTTCCAGGGCTACCAGGAGGTGAGTGCAGACTTTCTGCCTACCTGGTAGCTTGCTAACTTCAGTTGCTCACACTGCCCTCGTGTCCCACGGACGTTAGAAGAGACCCAGGTCTCTGGCTCCCAGCAGCTGTGATCTCCCAGCAGGACCTCCCAGGATTTCAAGGCAGTGGAAGCGCTGTTGCACGGTTGTCCTCTGCTCTAACCAGCTGTTTCTCTTCTTTAGCTCTTCCTCCTCCTCCTGCCGCAGAAGAAGAGGCCTCAGCCAACTACTTCAACCTACCCCCCAGCGGTCCTCCAGCGGTGGTGAACATCGCCCTGCCACCCCCACCTGGTATTGCCCCGCCCCCACCCCCAGGTAACCAGCTTCCTTCTGAGGAAATCGGGAAACACTGTCGAAGTCCTGTAGGCTGTGGGTGTGTGTTAGCTTGCAAAGCCTTTACTACCTGCCTGCAACAAGGTAAGGAGTTTGCACCAAAATGTAAATTCGTCAAGAAAGTCGTGTTACCAAAAAATTGTCAGATGAACTAAACAGTGTGCTTGGTCATGTAATGAAGTTACATTTTGGCTCAAGCTCTTTTTCTTGTTCATGACAAGTAATAAACAGTTCAGGGACTTGCACTTTGTATAGCACTGCTCTTTATAGCACTGTCAATGCCAGTATGAGCAGTGTAAGTAAATCACAAGCAGTAGGTTCTCCTGGGCAGAGTTCCCATACTCTCTGGAGAAAGTTCTGGTTTCTGAACACCCTTCACTCGAGTATAAAGCATTGAGGTTAATAATGACAGGGTCTTGCCATCAGCCTGATTTCTCCCTCACCTCCCCAATTCTGATCAAATCCTGTATGATAGGCTTGGCATGTTTGATAGATAGCAGAGGCTCAGATGACATACTAGCAATACCTGAGACATGTGGAGTTGTTTTTTTTTTAAGCCATCTTGAGGGGGAAGGTTTCTAAAACCAAGGAAGTCATGCAGGTAGACATTCCTAAGCAAGTCTTGTGAACTGACATTTTCTGAAGCCCCATGTCAATTTGATTTATGTGTAGGTGGTATTGACCTTAGAAAATTCAGGGTTTGAAAGGCTGTCAAGAGAACTGCAAGCCTAACAGATTTTTCTCTTCTATCTGTAGGTTTTGGGCCACACATGTTCCACCCAATGGGACCACCCCCTCCTTTCATGAGGGCTCCAGGACCAATCCACTATCCTTCTCAGGACCCTCAGAGGATGGGAGCTCATGCCGGGAAACACAGCAGCCCCTAGCACATTATCACCACTCTGGGGCTCTACAGAAGAGAGGGCGCTTAAAAATCCCAGTAAATGAATCTTGGAATAAATATATTTTTCCTCCCTTTGTAGTTTCCATGATAGCGGAATGTATTCAGATGTGGGCAGTTGGAGAACAACAGCCATGCTTTCCTCCATGTGCTCAAAGGATTGATGGACCTGAAATAAGCTTCCATTAACATATCTGGTTACTACTATAACATTACTAATAAAGTTTAATGCCTCTTCCCCTTATCTGTGTGGGGAACAAGCAACTGGGTAAATTGGAATGTCCAGCGGAGTTACCATCCCAATTAAATGTTCATTTTGTATCTTTTCTGGGGGGAAGAAGTTGACCTGCGTAAAAAAACAAACAACTTTGACCATTTTTATGTCCATTGGATATTTTCCTTTTTATCATCTAAAAAAAGATTACTAGTTCTAATCATTGTAGTGGCAAGAGTGTGATTTAACGCTTCTAAAGTCACACTCAGAAAGACAAGTAGAAACCAGCACCCAGCACAGCCCAGGTCTTTTCTCATCTCTCCTTTCCTCATTTATTACTAAAGGAATCTGGCTGATAGTTTTACTTCTTTATGCTACTAAAAAAAGACAAAGATAAAAATTACTTTTTATTCCTGTCAATCAGATGGAAACACAAATGTCATGGGGTTTTTTATCATTGAAGAAACCTGGTGTCTAGGATGAAATTATTTTAAAGAACTTCCAGTAAAACACTTGAACAAACTGTGAAAGGAAAAGAATTAGAGTGTGTTTGAATGGAAGACTTGTGACCTATAGCTGGAACTTTGATCTTCAGCATTCACCTTTGTGTGACTTCAGCGTCTCGTTTTAATTCCCTGCTTCTGGGCAGGGGACTCCGGTCTTAGAATATTTGGATATATCTGAATTGTAGATGGCAAAAAAAAAAAAATTGATGTTGTGTTGTGGTTTTGTTTTTAAAAAATTAAAACGGGTCAATTTTCTAAATGTTGTCATAGGTTTATTTCTGTTTTCTTTATCCTTGGTAGCTGAACTTGAGGTCAGTGGGAGTTAGAAACAAGTTATATATAAATATGTTTTTGCTTTAGACTGTTTTGATTCTGATCTCTATCCATTCTAAAAGAACCAGGCCTTTTTAGTTCTTATGTCAAAGGTTAGTTGTGGGCTTGAAATAGGAATACACAGAAGGCACAGCACAGAGCCTATCATGTGCTTGTTGATACATGGTAGCTTTAAAAAGCTGTCCTAGTATTATACAAGTCATTTTAAAAGGAAACAGGAAAAATTTATCTACAAGTGCATTTTTCCAGAAGCCAATTCCCATGTCATTTTTATCTAAAATACATACTTACAGAATGGATATACCCCTTATTACCCTATTTTAGCTTCTCTGGAGAATTTTTGTTGTTTTCTTCAAGAGGACTTTATCTTGCCTTTTTTTTTTTTAAGATCTAAAATTAATCTAGAAGCACTTAGAAATTTTTATTTTAATTCCAGTAATATCAGATGTGAAGCAATGTAGGGGTACTTCCAAGTATTTTGACACCCTTTTGGGTAGGGTTTTTTACTTTTGAGCAGCTGAGAGGTTTTTAGCCAATTTGTGAATAATGTGAAACATAGTGTTTTAATAATTGCTAAATTCAGTTATATCTATACATTTTATATACACATGTAAATATGACTATCCAATTTGCATATTCTTGCCTTTTTGAGAAAGATTCTAAATTTTGTGCAGTTACCTGGCTGTGGATGTGTATTTGTTTCTAAATCATAAACCAACATAAATTGAAGTATAGAATAGATGCTTGATTAGTCTTTCTTATGGAAATCAGAATTACGAGCAATTAGATTTTGGCAAAAACTCTTAGGTGCTTACCAAGCTCCATTTCCTTCTCTAGTGCATACAGCCAGGGGTACACTTGGCAAAAAGTAAACTTTGCCATTCCCAGACCTCGGTAAAAAACATCTCACCCACCCAGTCCTATGAGCTCTTTCCCCATCTGCTGGCTGAATGCACAGGAGGATAATCCCTGGAAGATGGCGGAGTCACACAACGGAAGGAGCCTGGGTTACTTTATCGCTGCTTCAAGGAGAGCATTGTGATAGGAGGAATTTTTGTTACAGTAAGCCGTTGAGACTTGGGGATCTGTCTGTAACAGCAGCTAGCGTTACTCTCATAAAAGATGTAATCAGATTTGATCACACAGAAAGCAGAAACCCATTTTTGTACTGAGTAATGGTGATTTTCTAAAATTTATTTTTATTCAAGTATAGTTGATTTATAATGTGTTAATTTCTGATGTACAGCAAAGTGACTCAGTTATATACATATATACATTCTTTTTAATATTCTTTTCCATTATGGTTTATCCCAGGATATTGAATATAGTTCCCTGTGCTATACAGTAGGACCTTGTTATTTATCCATTCTATATGTAATAGTTTACATCCACTAACCCCAAACTCCCAGTCCATCCCTCCCCGCCCCCACCTTGGTAACTACAAGTGTGTTTTCTACGTCTGTGAGTCTGTTTCTGTTTCGTAGATAAGTTCATTTGTGTCATATTTTAGATTCCACATACAAGTGATATCATACAGTATTTGTCTTTCTGATTTACTTCACTTAGTATGATAATCTCTAGTTGCATCCATATTGCTGCACATGGCATTTCACTCTTTTTATGGCTGAGTAATATTCCATTGTATATATGCACCACATCTTCTTTATCCATTCATCTGTCAATGGACATTTAGGTTGTTCCCATGTCTTGGCTATTGTGAATAGAGCTGCTATGAGCATTGGGGTGCACGTATCTTTTTGAATTACAGTTCTGGCCAGATATATGCTCAGGAGTGGGATTGCTGGATCATACAGTAACTCTAGTTTTAGTTTTCTGAGGAACCTCCATACTGTTCTCCACAGTGACTGCACCAACTTATATTCCCACCAACAGTGTAGGAGGGTTCCCTTTTCTCCACACCCTCTCCAGCATTTGTTATTTGTATACTTTTTTAAAAATAAATTTATTTATTATTTATTTTTGGCTGCATTGGGTCTGTTTCTGTGGGGGGGGCTAGTTGCGGCAAGCGGGGGCTACTCTTCATTACAGTGCGTGGGCTCCTCATTGCGGTGGCTACTCTTGTTGCGGAGCACAGGCTCCAAGCACGTGGGCCTCAGCAGTTGTGACACGTGGGCTCAGCAGTTGTGGCTCGCAAGCTCTAGAGTGCAGTCTCAGTAGTTGTGGCACACGGGCTTAGTTGCTCCGTGGCATGTTGGGTCTTCCCGGACCAGGGATCGAACCTGTGTCCCCTGCATTGGCGGGCGGATTCTTAACCACTGCGCCACCAGGGAAGTCCCCCATTAACTTTTTTAAAAGGAGGGATTGTCTTGGTAAAATGTAACTCATGTACAGAAAAAGTGCATAAACACAGAAGCACAGCTAAGTTAAATATTTTAAAGTGAATATCTGTGTAACAATCACACAGATCTAGAAATAATCCAGCTTTCCCCAGAAGCATTTTATTATGTCCCTTCACAATCACAAACCTTTCTTCCTCCGAAGTACCACCATCCTGACTTTCATATTCAACACCTCCTTGCATCAGTAAACATATGTTTGTATATGTGCCTTCCTTTGCTCACCATTTTGTTTCTGAGATGCATCCATATTGTTGTATGTAACTGTAGTTCATTCATGCTCACTGATGTGAACTGCCATGTCTATTGTCAGGTTTCCCAATGTTTGGGCTATTCTCAGCCCTTTTCACTTCCATGTCACGGTCTGATTTCATTCATGTAAAGAACAAAAACAGGCCAAAGCATAGAGTTTATATGAAGGGCCTACTAGGCCCCCAAATTACATGAAAGGTTAATGACCTGCTTTTTCAGGATCGAAATTTTGTTGAATGAAGAAGCAAAATACAGAACAACAAATACTGTATGATCCCATTAAAAGAAAGATATATCTTCGTATTTATGCATCTATATACATGTAAATATTTATTCAAATAAGTCTAGAATTCTAGAGCGACCAAACTATTACCAGTGGTTACCTCTGGTATATGGGAACGGGGCAGAATGCAGGAGAGTGGGAAAGTCTATGTATGTGCATGGGAGGAGCTATGTGGGCAGATACCTTCACATTTTACTTCTTCATTTATTTATTTTTACAGTAGGCTTTTTTTTTTTTTTAAACAACATCAGCAAAAGTCACATCAGAATAAGGAAGGAATGAGAATTTACTTTGGGGTGCAGCAGGCTCCCTACCAGTCTCTCCTCTTCTGTCCCTGGTGGCTGCCGTTACCCTCAGAGCACAGCAGAGCCAACCCAAGGCAGACCAAATCCTCTCTTCTGTGTTTCAGACACTTCAATGGTCGGCTTTCAGCTCTTGGAAACATGACTTTAAATAGAAGCCCCCGAATTCAAGCCAACACATCAACTGCAAGCAAATCTGAGTCAGCTGTTGGCCCCTTGAAACTGTGTGGGGCAGAGTGAAACTCCAGAGCAAAAGGAAAATGCAACCACTATCCCGTGCACCTGGGAACCAGCTAGAGTCCCAGCCTTCTCATCTCCCCAGGAGAGGGCGTCAGGGCGGAGACAGAGGGAAGCAGCGGGGAAGGAGGTGAGCCATGTCCAACAGAGCCCTACAGTGATCAGAGGCTTTCCTTCAGGTTTCAGCTTTACTGACCCCCAGTGACATTTCCGTGAGCCTGCTTCTCAAGGTGCACTCGCTGCAGGAACATCTCATCAGCCAAGAGTAGTAGCTGCATGGAATCTGATAATGACTGAGTGCTTATCAGGTATGTGTCCATCACTACGCCCACAAAACTCTATGCAGGGGCTTCTACTCTCGTCCTCATCTTACAGGTAGAGAATTAGAGGCCCACAGGCGAGAAATGACTTGAGTTCACACAGCCAGTGGTGGCATTAGAACCCACCCCATCCAGTCTGACCCCCAGCCTGTACTCTTAACCTCTAAACTCTAAAGCAGGGCACCATGACTAGGTGATTCCAGAGTGAATGGGCTTGGCCGCCCAGTGGGGTGATAAGAAACATCCACTGGAATCGGACAGATCCCCACTTGTCCCTGGACAAGTCACTTCCCCATTTTTGAGCCTGGATATCCACATCTGTAAAACGGGACAATACCTTTGTCTCAAGGTCGTACTGAAAATTAGAAATGGGATATGGAGAGAACCTACTACCAGCCCAAGCCCTGAGGCGCCCAATAAAAAGCAGCCATAATCGTCATCATCACACCAGCTGCAGTGAGGCGTTCCTTGCCCTTCTCTTCCTAACGAGCCAGCACACAGGCCGAAGAACTCCTGGTGGAGACTAGGACAAGATCTACCCTGGCGCCTGCTCTAAACGGTGAGTGGAAGGGGCTGGAAAGGAGTCGTCCTTGTAAGCACCTACTCTGCACCTGCCCTATGAGGTGCCGAGCGCTGCCCCTTCTTTCTGACCCCATGGCCGCCTCCCTAGTCCAGGCCTTGTTCCTTCAAGGATCCTGGCGTCCAGCTCTACTCCTCTCCAGTCTGTGCTGCACACAGCAACCAGCGAGACCCCTCGCTCTCCAGCCTAAGAACCTCCGCATCTCCTTAGTGCAGCCCACCCCACTCTGGCCCCCTGAGGAGTCACTGACTCCTCTGACATTGCCATCTCCCTTCTCCTCAACACCTGCCCCCATGACAATTCTGTACCTTTGCACTTGCTGTGCACTTGCCAGGAATGCCTTCCCCATCACGCTCTCCCCGTCACACCCCCTTCCCTTGATGGACTGTCACTCCTCTGCGGCCCCACTCGAATCCTCTGGGAAGCTTCCCAGAATCCCACCCCACACGCAGGGTTAGAGAACCCCTCCTCTGCTTCACTGGTACTTTGTTCCTCAGTAGTCAATTAGCGTGCTTTAGGGAAAATTAAGATGACTTCCTGCTTTACAAATCTGTCTCCTCTACTGTCTTTTCCTCCCTAGGCTAGGGCCTGGGCTTACCACACCCTCTCCCTGGAGCTGGCCCAGCGGCTAGCACACAGTTGGTGCTTAGTAAATGTTAACAGCGTAAATAAGGACCATCTGTGTCTCAGTAAAAGGAAAATCTAATTATCAGAGTGATTCACCGGTAAATAGGCGGCTAGCGAGCTCCCTGCCATTGGGGCAGCGTAAGCTAGACTACAGGAGCAGGAAAGAGTGGAGGCTTGGACGTGAAGTCATTGGTGGTTTGGGTTCCTAAAGATACAAACCGGGGACGAGTTTTCCTGGAACCAGCTGGGAGTACTGGTTACTAACAGAGACCCTCCACTCAGGAGATTCTGATGCTGCAGGTTTGGGATGGGCCAGAAATCTGTATTAAAACACCTCCAGGTAATTTTGAAGCACACCACATTTGGGAACTGCTGAACTTCATGACCTTTGAGGCCATTTGTGTGTGTGATGGCCCTTCGTAAACTGTGAAGTGCTGTCCACGAGTCTTGGCTCCAGGTGTTACCCGAACTCTGAGATGGGGGAATTGAAGCGGCTGGGGCTACAGCTCCTCAGACTCTGGGAGGTTGCGGACCCAGCCCTGGGCCACCCTGTTGAAGCTGGGTCTGAGGCGGAGGAGTTCCAAGCCACTGGTGAGCTCCGGGACGAAGGGGGTGCCTGCCCTCGGAATGGTTTCCCCCACCAGGGCTCCTCCAAAGGGCACTGGTGTCCTGGGGAGAGAAGAGCAGCAGGGGAGGAAGGCTGTGTGGGAAAGGGTGGTGGAACAGACCTGTGGGTCTCCACGGGCAGCCCCCTCCCCTCCTCTCTCTGGGCCTCAGTTTCCCTGTTGCTCAGCAAGGTTTTGTACTGTCTTTAACAGGTTTCTCCAGCTCTGCCCATTCTCAAATCTGCCCCTAGTGGGGATGGCTTCTTGCTTTGAAATAGGAGTGAGGTTTTCAGTGAGAACTGGCTTGTCCTGGCAAAACTCTAGGTTCCTGTTAAGGAAGGTCCAGAAGGGTGTAGAATTGGAACAGAGTTTTTCCCTCCTCTTGTCATCTCCCCTTAAAACAATATATCACAGGCTGGAGAGAGAAAGGAGGGTTAGAAAGAACACTGAGAATCAGAGACTACAGTTTACCACAGAGACATGCCACTTCTCACCCATAAGACTGGCAAGAATAAGTGATTTGGTAATGGGGCAAAGTTAGCGAGGCGGTGGGGCAAAGTCTCTCTCATATACTGCTGGTTGGAGAGTAAATTGGTGTTGCTCCCTTGGAGGGCAATTTGGCAGGATCTTTTTTTCACATCTTTATTGGAGTATAATTACTTTACAATGGTGTGTTAGTTTCTGCTTTATAACAAAGTGAATCAGTTATATATATACATATGTTCCCGTATCTCTTCCCTCTTGCGTCTCCCTCCCTCCCACCCTCCCTATCCCATCCCTCTAGGTGGTCACAAAGTATTGAGCTGATCTCCCTGTGCTATGCGGCTGGCAGGATCTTTTAAACCTGAAAATGTGCAAATTCTGTCAACCAGCGCTCTACCTGTAAGCATATGGCTTAGGGAAGCGTATGCCCAAGGAAGCAGATATGAGCAGCGATTAGTGACAGACCAGAAACAAGCCATATGCCCACTGGCAGAGGAATGGATAAGATAAATATAGTATACTCACATGGCAGAGTACTATATAGCAACTTAAAAGGAATGAAAAGAGATATAGGTATTAGAAAGAGGAGACTGAAAAAGCATAATGTTGCGTGAAAAAAGCAAGCAAGTTACAGGATGAAATACAAAGTAGCAAAACACACACACACATGCACACCAAACAATGCTACATCCCCATAGGTATGTAGCTGCTGGTAGAGAATATTCTCTTGTAGAGAATGTTCTGAAAACATACATACCAACCCGACAACAGTGTTCCCTTTGGGAACGGAGCTGGGATTGGAGCATGGGGAACAAAGGGGCCCTACCTTTATTTGAAGTCGCCTAGGGTTTTTTTTAAAGATAATATGAATACATGATTTTCAAACTATTTTTTAATTGTAAGAGAATAAAAAGCATTGCTCATTTAGTGTTTTCCCTGCAGCCTGGGACCAATGGAGAGAGGGGAATGCCTGCTCTGGGGTAAAATGGCAAACCTTGGGCCACAGCCTGGGTTCCAGCCAGGACAGTGTTTCTGCCTGGACCACCACAGCTGTGATGGCAACAGCCAGGGCCCCGCAGGAACAGGCTGGGCTGTTTCCAAGTCAAGCAGGCCTCACGGTTGGGCCCTTGATCAGGAGCCCAGAGCCCTGGATCCTGAGCACAGTTTGGCCACCAACACCACAGTTCCTTCTCTCTCTGCCTCAGTTGCCTCTTCCGTCCCAGGAGGGGTCTGGGCTCAGGGGTCCCTAAGACCCTCCTTATTTTTGTGGGAACATGCCTCAGCCTGTCAGAGCTGAGGCGTGAGATGGATGGGGCTGCGACCTGCAATGGCCAGACTGGAAGCTGGCTGCTAGCACTGAATGTCAGCTGAGGGTTTTAAAGAGCTGCACAGGCAGGGTGTGAGGGCCCCAGGAGGAGAGACAGCACAGTCCTGCCCGGCAGGAAACCCCCAAACGTCTGCCAATGGCTTGTGGTTCACACGAGGCCTGTCGGGCCCATTCTTGCCATCATGGTCCTCCCTGGCTCTCAGCTGTTTGAGGGCAGTCACATCCCTCCTGAGCAGTCTCTTCTCAAGGCCCATCACCCCCAGTTCCTTCAGCCCTTCCTCAGAGGGTTTGGTCTCCAGGCCTAGCAAGACAGACACAGTCTCCATGTGTGGTCTGAGCAGGTGCCAGAAGCGCTGGACTGTGGCCTCCTCTCTGTGGACCCTCCACTTTCTCGCTTAATCCAGCCCAAGCCAGAGGAGCATTTTTCACGAATAGCAGCACACTGAGGAAGCCAATTGAAATGCAGTTGAAATGCATCCCCCAGCCCAAAGCCTTCCTTCCTGCCAAGCTCCTGTCCTGACTGCTGTGATTTGTTTTCAGGACCCCAGGGTGGGATGTTAAATCTATCCCTTTTAAGTTCTCCCCTGTTGGCTTTTCCAGCCATCATTTCAACCTGTAAATAATAATAATAATAATGGCAGCTACCATTTATTGAGAGCTTATCACTTGCCAGAAATTTTGCCTAAGGCCTCTCATGCCATCCTCATGACCATCTTATGAAGCAGGTACTGTAACAGTCTCATTTTACAGGTGGGGAAAGGGAGGCCCAGCGAGGTTAAGCCACTTGCCCAAGGTCACACAGCCAGGGGTGGAGATTGCATTAAGCCCTCGTCGAGGGCCCACGTGCTAAACACTATGAGCCACTGCTTTGTGGCTCTCACCTCTGGTGTCCAACATTTCACTGCCACTCCCCACAGTGGTACAGCCTCAAGATCACTTTCTAGGCCTCTTCCAGACCACTGATGAAAGTGAGGAAAACGCTGAGCTGGCCTAGGACTAGTGAGGTCTGGGGCCCCCACCCAGGGAAGGACTCGCACCTTGATGTCCATCAAGGAGATGGCACACAGCAGTGATGGAGAATAAGCACCTGGACTCTGGAGTCAGACAAAACCAGACTTGGATCCCAGCCCCGCCACTGCTTCCTTGCTTTGTGATTTTGGGCAGATTGTTGATAATCCTCTTCTCCAGCAGAATAGGAAAAACTGTGGCACCTGCCCCACCCTGTTGTGGAGGAGAATCCAGCAAGGTGTGTGCCACATTCACCCATTTATTCCCTGTACATTTATTGAGCACTAGTTAGTTGTACTAAGGCAAGAGCTCTACTGAGTTTTAGCAGGGGCTCAATAAATATATATAAGGCGACGGGGTAGAGCCCGGCCTGTAGAAAGCGCTCAGGAGATGGAGCTACTGCTGTGGTTGTGACTGGCTCCAGTGCATCCTCCCTCCAGGTCTCTCCCTAAGCAGCCCGCCTCGTCTTACTTGTTGAAATTTCGATACTCCGCCAGGCTGGGGGTATGACTTCTGCCTTCGCCCAGGTCGTCCTGGTAGCTGACGAACTCCTGCCATGGGCAGCTGTAGCCCTTGGGGATGGCCGTGTGGTTGAACTTCTCGGGAGGGACGCCCTTCAGTGGCTCGGCATAGCCTAGGGGGTGGAGCATGGCACGTGGGAGGTGGGCGAGCGGGACGCCTTTAACCTTGCCGCCACGCCCCACTGCAGACACTGTTTGGGGGGGGCTAGGAAAGGGGAGTTGGGGGAGGGGGTGGAATGTGATGCTAAAGTTGCTCCAGCAAAGAGGACCTTTCCCCATCCCTGGAAACAAGGAGGACGGAGCAGAGGAATGGCAAGTTGGGGCGCAGACTCTAGTCTTGCCTCGGACCCTGGCTGGCTCTGTGACCTTGGCGCATTGCTGCGCTACTCTGGGCTTGTGTTGGGTCTTTGGAGTGGGGTAAGTGTGTGTGTGTGTATTGGGAAGGAGGTGGACTAGACGCTCTCTGGATGCTCTTCCTGCCCCACCGTGGAGCTCGCCCACGCTACGGTCCCCTGGTCCTGGGACGCGGGCAGGCCACTTACCTGGCGCCAGGGCACTGGGGCTGTGGGCACTCACTGGCCGGGCGGCTGTGGGCTGGGCATCCTCAGGGCCCTCGGGCCCTGAGGTCGGGAAGATGTGGAGCTCAGAGCGGTAGTTCTGCCCCTCGGAGCTATTGGCAACCTAGGCACAGGGGCGGAAGCTCAGAGGTGGTGGACCGGGGAATCTGAGTTGCCTGGCCCCTTCCGCCAGGCTTCCGCCACTTCGGGGTCTCTGTGCATGCTCACCATCCCAGGTTCCGTTGTTCCAGTCACCTTCTCCTTGGCGCTTCCTGCCACGAGCTGGGGGGAGGAGAGGGGCAAATAAACCGCAGGAAGGCTCAGCGGGGCAGGAGGCCAGGGTTCTCCCTCCACTAAAAAAAAGGCAGGGGGTGGTGGGAGGTCATAATCCTAGAGCCCACCTCCCAGGGATGTTTTTGGGGGAGGATGAATTAATAGTGTAGGGCGCTAAACCCTGGAACAGAGAAGTGCTCTTACATAACGTTAGTTGCTATTATAGTATTGACCCTGGGCATATAATATTTAACCTCTCTGAGCCACAGTTTCCTTCTCTGTAAAGTGGAGATGATGATAATAATATCGCTCTCTGATCATTAAATGAGATGATGCATGCAAACTGCTTAGCTAGTACCGTCATAAGCACGTAGCAAAGGTAGGTGTTTTGTCATTTTTATTATTCTGCCACATCGATCCCTCTCATCGTCTCCTGTTTCATCCAGAAATTGAGTGGAGTAGGATGAAAGTCCCCTGAGCTCATTAGAAGTACCTGAAACTGCCTGCCACCTTTTTGAAGCCGGGGGACAAGCCATTCTTGCCTCCTTTCTCTACCAGCTGACTGTCTCGTGGCCTTTGCCTTCTTCCAGTGGGAAAAAGAGGACGGCATTCTGCATTTTCCATCTTAGATCAAGCTCAAGTGTAATCTAAATCCTGCTTGCTGCAAATTCAGCCCAGAGCACCTGACTATTCTTCTGCACTTTTTGTAGGAGTCAGAGTCCCTTCACTCCATGGGGCATCCTGTCCGATACACTTTATGTATTGTATCTGGGGAAAGGTGCCTAAAGGGCTAACCCTTTTCTAGGATCACCTAGCAAGGCAGAGGTCAATCTGATGGCAATATCACAGCCATCCCTGGCTGGAACTTGAGGGACCCCCCCATAGAGGGCAGAAGTCCTATCTGGCGCATTGTTTGGCTCTAGGCTAACGACCGGCCCTCTCTGGGCCTCAGTTTTCCTGTGAACACAATGAAGGCTTACTCACCACACGCGGGCTGGCTGCAAACTCAAAGGTGAATTTCTGCACGCGGCGCTGTCTCTTCTGGAAGAGGAGGGATCCTCGGTTGTTACGCAGTGATAGCTCTTCCATCATCAAGTCCTGGGGCACGCTCAGCTTCTTGCCCAGGTCCAGCAAAGGGACTGCCCAGAGAGGCCAGAGGGAGCTCTTACTACCAAACCCTCAGGGCACTCCGGGTTGCTGCCTCTAAGGGGACCTCCGCACAGCACCGTCCACTGTGTATGAGAGTGCCGATTTTGCCCCACACTTGCTGACCCTGGGTGTCATTATTCTTAGGAATCTTTGCCCACCCAATGGGCGGAAATGACTCCTCTGTGTTTAATTAGCATGTGTTTGACACTCAGTGAAATTGAGCATCATTTCAGGTGTTCTTTGGCCGGGTATATTTATTCCATGCAATTCCCATGCAGCTCTTTGCCCATAGGGGTGGAGGTAGTGAGTAATGATCAGATTCTAGGTATCTTTTAAAGGTAGGCCATGGGTGTGGGATGTGAGAGACAGAGAGAGAGGTGTGGGAGGTAAAGGCAAGGTTTCTGGCCTGAGCCGCTGGGAGGATGGAGTAGCCGCTCTCTGAGATGGGAAGGCTGGAGGAGGAGGAGATGTGAGGAAAGACCAGGCATTCCGTTCTAGACATGTCTTCTTTTAATGTTAAAATAGCCTTTTATTATTATAAAAACAGCATATAAGTGCATTGAAGAAAGTTAGAAAATATAGACATAAAAGAAAAGAAGGGCTTCCCTGGTGGCGCAGTGGTTGAGAGTCCGCCTGCCAATGCAGGGGACACGGTTTTGTGCCCCGGTCTGGGAAGATCCCACATGCCGCGGAGTGGCTGGGCCCGTGAGCCATGGCCGCTGAGCCTGCGCGTCCAGAGCCTGTGCTCCACAACGGGAGAGGCCACAACAGTGAGAGGCCCGCGTACCACAAAAAAAAAAAAGAAGAAAAACACCATTTTCTACCATCCAGAGGTTGCCACTACTAACACTTTAGTGTATATCCTTTCCCGTCTTTTTCACTGACTATGTATTCATATGTGACTTTTTAACCAAAATGAAATCATAGCACAGCTGCTTTGTAACTTGCTTTTATCAGTTAAAGATCTCCACCTTTCCAAGTGAATGAATTTTTTTTTATATATAATGCCTAGTCTATATTCAAACTCCCCTAATTGTCTCCAAAACTGAGTATAATGTTTGAAGAGCCTTGTAGGCATCCCAGCAGAGATGCCGAGTAGGGAGCTGGATATATGAGTCTAGTGTTCATGGGAGAAAATTGACCTGGACACGAAATTTGGGGCATCAGGAAATACAAATGGTATTTGCTGTTGTTGTTTTTTAATGAAGACTGTCCCGTTTATTTCTTTTCTCATAGTTAGGACCAGTCATTATAGCCATGTAGACGGATTCCAGGGCTGATGACCGTCCTTAGTAGTTTGGTAGCCCATCCATATCCTTGGTGCTTTCCCCACCAGCAAAACACATACTTTTATGTTGGTGCCACAAGGGAAGACTTTTGGAAGAAAGGAGTGTCAGCATGGTGAAGACGTTGGTAGGAGAGGGATATGTATGGGCAGCACGGGAAGACTTGTCATCTCTACAATCAAACACACATAGGTTCATATTCTAGCTCTCTGAATGGTATTTGGAGCCTGGAGGCTAGGTGAGATCTCCAAGGATATGAGAATGGATAAAGAGATCCGAAGACTGAGCCCCGGGGCCTCCAACATTTAGACTGAGGAGATGAGCCCCAGCCCTGGAGCCCGGGAGAAAACACCCAGCAAGTTAGGAGGAAATCTAAAGACTGTGGTGTCCTAGAACCAAATGATGAAAGCGTATTAGGCAAGATGAACTGATCAATGGAGTCAAATGTTGCTGATATGTCAAGTAAGAGGAGGGCTGAAAACTGACCATTGTATTTAGTAACATGGGGTTATTATTGGCAATCTCCGCAAAAGCAGTTCCTGTGGAGTATTTGGGCGTGAAAGCCTTATTAGACAGGGTTCGAGAGAAGAGGACAGAGGAACAGTTTGACACAACACAAGGAAGCAATGAGCCAAATCTAGGATGTGGGACGTTCTACAGGGCAGGTGGCCCAGTGTCTTCAAAGGAGTGAATGACATGGGAAAAAAGGAGGCGGGGGCAGTGTTTTAGATTAAAGGAGATTTAAGAGACATAGCTACCAAAAAAAAACAAGGGCCCTTGAGGGTACAGTTATTATGCTAAGTGAAATAAGTCAGATAGAGAAAGACAAATGCCATATGATTTCACTTATATGCGGAATATAAAAACAAACAAACATAAACCAAAATAAATGATCAAACCAAACCAAACATCAACAAACATGTAGATACAGGGAACAGAGTAGCGGTTCCCAGAAGGGAATGGGGGTGGCGGGGGAGGGTGAAATGGGTAAAGGGGATCAACTGTATGATGAAGGATGGAAACTACATTTTTGGTGGTGCGCACGCTGTAGTGTATACAGAAGTAGAAACATGATTCTGTACATGTGAAACTATCAATGTATAACGTTAAATATGAACCAATGCTACCTCAGTTAAAAAGTGGCTCTTATTTGGATCCCTGTTAACTAGAAAATTGGAGCAAGTTGACTATAGGACTGGCTATTAGATAGTATTAAATCAACATTTAATTTTGTTCAGTGTGTTAATATCTTTGTGGCATGTAAGTAAATGTCCTTTTTATTACTTTCTGTGAAGTATTTGGGGGATGAAATGACATGCTCTTTGGGATTTGCTCTGGAACCCAGGAATAAAAGGAGGGCCACAGGGATTTGCACTCTCAACTTTGTGTGTGTGTGTGTGTGTGTGTGTGTGTGTGTGTAAGTTGGTTAATAAAATGTGAAAAAGAGAGGAGGGAAGTATAGACAGCTGCTTTGAGGAGGTGTGCTCTGAAGGACCATGGCTGGGGGCAGCTGTGGAAGCAAGAGTGGTTTGCTCGCTTGTTGGTTTGCTTACTTGCTTGCTTGTTTTTAAAGAGGGAGGAATAATAGCATGTTTGTTAGCTGATGAGAAAACCTGACGATGCAATAAAGAGAGGGGAGAATTACTGAAGGAATGTCTTGAGCAGGAGAGAGGGCAGGGAGGGTGTTCAGTGCCCAGCAAGAAGGGTTGGCTTCACACAGTGCAAGGAGAGTTCATCTATCGTATCAGGAAGGAAAACCGAGAACAGGGACACAGATGCAAACAAGTGGACAGATGTGGAGGCGGGAGCTTGCAGAAGTTCTCTTTTGGCCACTTGACTTTTCTCGGTGAAATAAGAAGCAAGGTCATTAGCTGAGAATGAAGGTGGGGGAGGAGGTATTGGAGGTTTGAGAAGAGAGGTTGCTAAAGTTATCTCAGAGAACAGTAGGGGAGAGTGACTGGGTCAGGGATGGGTGATGTGGTCACCAGGCAACACTGAGGGCCATTCAGGTGCTGTGATTCATCCCATTCAATGGAATCCTAAACAGCCTTTTTAAAAAGGAGGCTGATGTTTCTTTCATCCTTACAGCAAATATAGAGACAGCACCTTCTACATGTTAGGATCAGAAAGAAATCCACTGTAGATTAAAAGGGGGAAAAAAGGAAATTTCAGAAGAATCTGTATTCTAAGATCCCACTCGTATATTTTTAAAAATAAACACATGTTTATGTATGCATTGAAAAATCTGCAAGGAGATATGCCAAATATTGGCAGTGACAATTTGGGGACCTAGGAAGGAGGAGGGCTGGAAATTGTTTGCATTGTTTTTGTATTTGAACAAGAAAATGTACTGCATATTTAAACAGATGAAAGACCACATATACCTAAATACATAATAAAAGTCTCCTGGCATCATATTCTCAAATGCTGTTCAGATGAACTGAGCTCAATATTAAAAAAAAAAAAAAAAAAAAAAAAATAAAAAAAAAAACAATATTGACTAAAAAATACACTTCTAGACGCTTGTCCTCGCTGGAAAAAAAGATGA